AAAAAAAAAAAAAAAAAAAACAAGAAAAATATTAATGAAAAATAATTGGGTCGATAATTAATTTATAAAGAAAATAAACAAAAAAAAATTATAGTATCGTTGATAAAATAGTAGTGGTAGGGTTTTGTCCACATGTAGGAAAATTGATTGATTAAAGTTGTTGATATGACTGATATTTTAAAGAGTATTTAAAATTTGGTTATACATTATTCAATGCATTCTAAATTGTAATATATTATTCTTGACTTTCATTTTCACCAAAATTAGAAAACTATACTTTTTATGGGTTTCCTCCACTTTTGAAATTAAATATATAGAAATTCAATCTTTAGCCCTATAAAGCAAGATTTCAAAGACCTACCCACTAATAAGGGTTTAATTGTAGTTCTTCCCTAAGCTTAGTGCAATTTTGAAAAAATATTTTTTATTCTCCAACCGTTTTTTAAAATAGTTTTTAAGTCACGTTTCCAAAATATTTATTAAAATTAATTACTTTGATTAAAAATAACTTAAATAAGAGTTTTTCTAGGTAGTGACTATAATTTGAAACCCATTTTCACTAATCCTTCCCTCATAATACACGCATCATTTTGGTGTACTTCAGATTCAGAAAATAATTACAGAATCCAAAAAGCCTCAGAAATCTCTCTCTCTCTCTCTCTCTCCTCTGTTTCAGTGTGAATATGTTTTAGAGAACTTTAGCTTTCTCTGCAACAAAGATCCAGACAGCTATTCAGGCATGAAATCCTCCTCATGTGCCATTGCAGGGATGCCAGTTAAGGCCATATTCTTCAAAACATGGATTCAACTCATCTCAGCTTTTGCAGAGTCTGATGATCCTGTTTGTGATTCAGATCAACAAAACAGAGCATGTTTCAAGGCACCTCTCTCTCTCTCTCTCTCTCTCCAAACCCAAAACAAAACAAAACAGAGCGAGAATGAAAGTGGCATATTATTATTAGAACCACAAATTTTTCACTAAGGGAGGGGGAAGGAGGTTTACAAACCTTAGGTTCAGTAACCTTCCAATGAACCACATAAACCAATTTAAAACCCAGTGATTAACAGTCTAATACTATGGCTTCTTCTTCTTCTTCTTCTTCTTCTTCCATGTACAGCCATCACCATTAACTTAATACTTGGTGACAGAATTATTGATTTAATCTGAATTCTGATACCCTTTTCCTTAAATTCTTCGAATCCTTAACCCTTTTTAGGACGCATCAAATGGTTGTTGGAAGATGCTTGTGAGTTCACATCAATATTGATTTGAAACTGTCGGTTTGGCTTCATGTTATTGTTTCTTCCACGCCTCTGTTTTCTTGCAGGCTGCAGGGACCTTGGGATGAACACGCCGGTGCCCTTGCTTACGCTGCTGTAGGCTATGGTGGCATGTTCATGCCCTGCCAGTGGCCGTGTGGGGTGGTGCCCTCCATGAGACAGAGCCTGCAAATTGATCGATCTTGTTGGATTACACAGCCAAAACAGAGAAATATAATCCAACAGAGAGAAATACCCAAGTGATTGAAAATTTGAAAATACTAAATCCCATCTCCATCGCTAAGCTATATAAATGTTGGGAAAGGAAGTGTACCTGAAGAGAAACATGTGGATGAGGGAGAGGGTCTTCGTTGTCATCCATGAGAAGAAGAGAAAGCTGTCTGCTCAAATCAGCAAAGAACAAATCATCTTCAAATTCCAAAGCTACCTCCATGTTTGTCTAAACTCGGAACTGCAATAACAGAGAGTTAGCTTGCTGGGTGGGTGTCTCTGTTAGCAAAAGAACTAAAGAGATAATTACTTTTTTCCTTTTCATCTCTCTCTCTCTCTCTCAGGTGAGGATATATAGAATTTAGGAGAGGGAAAAAGGGAGTGATGGGTGAGTTTAAACCACACTGGCTGAGCATGTGAGATGGTGGGTCATTGCCCACAGCTGGCCAATCTGTCTAAAGTTCAAATACCCCACAAGAATCATTAACATGGTGTTATCCAGTTGGGGAAAAGATGAGGATCAGTTGCCGGCAACCAATCGCCATCTCCAAGCCAAAGAGATTGCCTTAAATCTTCTACGCACTTGGGTTTCTGTAGTAGAGCATCTCTTAATGGATTTCCTGTTCATCAAAGCAAATCCCATTAGTCTGTTTCATAATACGACTTAGATCTGATCTCATGTATTCAAAAAGGCAATAAATGATCTATATTGTGGGAGAAGATCTATCTGGCTCTCAACTTGAACTAGATAGCAGCCTAACTGTCATAGGTACTCATCCGTGCATCTGTGTGTTGTTTGAGACCATTAGTTCTAGGAGTCGGTGGATGGATATCTCTTTCGAGGGGCCACTTGCATTTGTGGTGTCAGGGAACATAAAAAAACAATTAAGGGATGTTTGGCTCATGATCAATAAAACAACGACTGTGATCCGTATTTAGATTTTGGTAAAGCCTACGCAAGCCTGCAAACAAAGTCACTATACAATCAAACATAAACTTGAATCTTTTTATGGTCAAGCTTAAGAGAAGGGGAATCAGTTCTCCTCTACAGTCAGCTTTGGAGATAATCGAATGAACATGACATAGTGCAGAGGCTCATTGATATCCATATCACAATGTTCATCCACTTTAGAGTGAACCCCAATGAGCAAAGCTCTAAAGTATTAATCATGGTAGTAGGATTCTACATATTCACTCGTTTTGCTAGCTGGTAGAGGGCCCCTCCATGTTTGCTTCCCAACTTTCTTTGTGATTGGAGGCCTCCTCTCGGGGTAATTGCTAGACCATTACCTGTCAAAGGGTGCTTTGTTTCTACTATATCATTAAACATTCAGCATTAGTAAATCTCTTGGTTTCAGGAACATTACCTGTCTTCAGCAAGCAAATCAATCAGATATGGGATCAGCAGCTGGTGAAAGAATTCATTATAAACATTTACATAAAGCATGAGGATTGGTATCATTATTCAAATACAAGCAGCAAGCAGCAGCAACAACCATGCTACCCATTTTTCCAAGCTAAAGCTGATACTAATTACAAATGACAAGGAAATCTTCAAAAAAATATCCACTATGTCAAGTCTTGATCACTGTTAGCAGTTAATAGTCACATAGTAGCTTGAAGTAGAAGGATGAAAGAAGTAAATCATTGTGCAATACATCAGTAGTCTCTGGCAACAGATTCACAGCTCTAATGTTCTTTTCAGGAAGGAAAAAAAATTGTACAAATGAGAATGGATCCGACCCCACATCAACCTTTTTCCATTCATTAGAGGGGGAAGAGAGAGCCATATGACTCAAATTTGGAGATAAAAATGTAATGTAGTATTAAGCCCCACCTGCAGTGTCCATATCCGTAACACCGTCAACCCCCTTAAACGCCACACGTAATTTTCGGAGACAGGAAGTTTTCTTATCATTCTTAGAAGCTACACCAGTGACATGGACTACATCTTTCAAAACTTTACCCATCAAGTCAAAAAGTGGAACACTCAAATTTGATCTGGTCATCTCTTCAAGTACAGGAGGTGCCTGCATGTATAGATTCTTCCCTCGATGCGTGACACTAGCCTTCAATAACAAGAGCTTGGGATGATCCTCTAGAAGTTCAATGAACTGTTTCACACAAAAAGTGGGAGTAACGTCATGAAGGATTTACAAGATTTCTCAACATCTGAAATTAACGATATGTTTGCATAAGCTAAATAACCGACCTTTTGTAAAGAGATTGAAGAATCCAGCTCAATAAGAACACCTGGACCACAAACAAGACAGTCCTTGTCTTTTACAAACTCTGTCACTTTAGTGTGGAGACCTTCTGCACCATTATATCTGGAAAAGGATCACTTGGCATTAAATTCAATGCACTCGGAAAGTAAGGCCACAAATATAAGGAATAATGGAAAAATGTTACTGGGTATTAGAAATTCAGCCAGGATATATGATAAAGCAAGTAATGCATTGAAAATTGTGTAATTCACTCGCAATTCTAATTTCAACTTCCAAAAGATAGAAAGAACAGATTGGATGGCTATAAAAGGCTAGAATTCGAATCTAAAAGAAGTAAAAAGTAAATAATGGAAAGAAACCAAAATTGTTTAGTATATGAACAAGGCATTGAATGACTTATCAATTCAAGAAGGAAGGATGAGAACCAAATAACTTCCAGATCATAACAAGAACCAAAAACAAATGAAAAGGTGAACAGATAGCAATCATAACATAAACCACACTGCTGGATTATGACTTCAGTACTCGAAGAATGCTGCACAGAATAAATCAAAATGTTCCATTGCAGCTTGACATCTTATCTATCTACCTATATAATTACGAGTACGAATAAAGAAAAACATTATTAAGTTGCACCACAAAATTATTATTAAACCCATATTACAAAAAAATGAAAAGGAATTGTTAGATGTTTGAAGAAAACAGTACACACGTTAAGTAGTTGGATAGCGTTTTGCTGCATCCCGATACGATCTTCAACGTTTCCAGTGTACATGCAGCTGATATAATTGCATTGGTGGAAGCAATAGCAGGGATGATATTCTTCACAACACCCTAAAAATCGCTTAGAAAATGTAAATCAGTAGGTGCATTCGTAACAACAAAGAGAGTAGTTTAAAAAAAAATGCAAGCAGATAATATGTACTTACTAAAAGAACAATCACGAGTTCTGATAAAATATAATCGACGTATCAGTTCACTAATGTGAAAATTCCCAGACTAATATGTACCTGAGTTAGTGAATATGTAACTCCGGGTATGCCAAAAAGCTCGGCTCTCGTAACAGCCTATAGATGTGGGAAGATAAATTAGACGTTTAAAATCACGAATTGAAAAGAATTCTCAGATCTTACAGGAATTTATGTACCTCACTGTAAACCCATTTCATATGTTCTGAATCATCCGGATCAAAAGCTTTGCCGCTATGAACCTAAAAGAAAAAGTATTGGGTAACTCGAAGGGATACATTCACAATCATCAATGAAAAGCATGGTAACTAATGCATTACCTCATCCCATTTAATTAGGTGAGCATACTCGATACAATGAGCGGCAGTTCTAGGAGTTTCTGCTAGAGTACATAAAGGGAACTTCACTTGAGGTGGAAAAAGCCAGATGGTACACTCGAAGCATGGCGTGACCCCTGGTAAAATTACCCTTGCATGCCCCTTGAAGCCTTCAGTTCCACCATCTACCATTGGTTTAATTGTTTCTTCTAACGGATTATCATCAGAATCGTACTCTAGAGGTTACAAAGAGAAAATAAAGGACATGAAGTTTGCATTCATCATCGACATAACATTAAAATTTACCGGACACAAGATGGTGAAGAGACATTAGTAAAATGTAGCAAGTACGAGCATAGCATACCGAGGAAGCTACAAGCGACAGAATTGATGTAACTTCGAGCTTCAATGGAATCAAGACCAAGTGCAATTATGTGAAAATCGTTGTAAAATTCAATTTCTTTGTCCTCAATCCGACAAAAATGCCACACAATATTGACACCACTAACTCTCTCCATAACACGTTTTGCAGCTACCTCAGCTTTTGGCTTACCAACATCATCAAGCCTACAATGTTACATAGAGTCATTCTTCTGACAGCCATAGTTAATCAAATGACTATTGTAAAGCCATATGCAAATGCACATATGAGAAAGAGATTTCCTCAATGAGCCCAAGATCAAATCATATCGTATCAAGAAAATGTCCTGAAAAGAACTTTCTCTGAGGAAAATCTATTTAAGCACCATGCTTTGGTTAAGAACATTCGACCCATCTAATTCCTAGAACAGGTGAAACCTTTACACTAACAAACATAAATATAGATATCATCAGTCAATAATGGATGTAACTTGAAAATAGAGGTCAATTTTCAATTCATTACAGCACAGTATTCACCCTACAAATGTAAAGGTTCTATTCTATACCCACCCCACAGGCCCCGGTTGTTCAAAATTTCAAAAGAACACTACGAATAGAACTCCAAAGATTCATAAAGAACCAAGAAATTAGTTGGAACCTGAAGAGAAACTGACGATTGAGATTAGTAACTTCAATGCGATCCATGTCAATTACTTCCAGATTCCGGAAACCCGACAAAGCCAAGTCCTTCAGGAGCTCGCAGCCCAACCCTCCAGCTCCTATGACCAGCACTTTCACATATTGTTGAAGGTCATCCCTCAACTGTAATACAAATCAACTTAGTCGTAAGACGATTGCAGACCATGTATTGAGCACAAGGTAATTGAAAAAATGTCGGAGAGAAGAAGTACCCACTTGGGAACCGGGCTCGAAATTGGCGCCGATGAGGTTACCGGGCCTAAGAAGGAGCTTATCGAGGTCCCTCGATCGGCTGGATTGGACAACAGAATCCGCCATTTGAAAGCCTTACAGCGCCGACTCTGGGCTGCCGGAGAAAATTCTTGAAAGTGTAAAAGAGAAGGGGTTTTCTGGTGGAAGTGGAAACGGGCGGCGAGGGAAGGTAGGATTCGGGGTGGAAGTAGAAGTAGCTTGGTTCTCACGCAGTGCTGAGTCGCCGTTCGTCGAATCGCAGCGCCCTCAACCCCAGGGCCATTTTTACCACGCGGGGAGATGTTAAAGTCCAATCCCGCGCGTCGGTCCAATTTTTTTTTTTTCTTTCCACTCCTTTTTTTAATTATTATTAAATGGTCTATTATATTACAATTAATTTTTTTACACGTATAAAAATTAATTTTAAAATAGATATATAAATCTTAATTTTATAGTTGAATTCATACAATTATTAATTTGTTATTTCAAGTGATACAACCCTCAAAATTTAGGGTATAAATCAATTCCTTTTTTTTTAATTAAAATTGAGT